TGCAGTATACATTATTGAACCCGTCTTTCTCAGTCTCTCCCCATCCCCAAGGTCAGTCCTGTTTTACAACAGTGGCACCATGCAATATTTGTCCTTCTGTGACTGAGATACTTCACTCAGCATAATGTCCTCCAGAGTCACCCATTTTGAATAATACTGCATGAGTTCCTTGTTTTTCAAAGCAGCGTAGTATTCCATTGTGCGAATATACCACTGCTTCTCTATCCATTCATTTGTTCTTGGGCACTTAGGTTGTTTCCAACTCCTTGCTATTGTGAACAAAGCTGCAATAAACATGGGTGTGCATATATCTGCTTGATTGTCAGTTACGGTCTCTTTAGGGTATATTCCCAGTAGTGGAATTGCTGGTCAGATGGTATTTCTGTTTGTAACTTTTTGGGAAAGTGCCATACCACCTTCCACAGTGTGTGTGTGTGTGTGTGTGTGTGTGTGTGTGTGTGCGCGCGCGTACCATCAAATCAGATCTGACTGGTACAGGAGGAGATTGTCCCTCCTTCCCTGGCAGAGCATCTGGTGGGTTCGAACCGTGCGCTTCTGGGATTGTAGTTGCAGTTCCTTGTCACTAGGCCACCAGAGCTCCCCTGGATTTAAGAATCTTATAACAACAACAACAAAAAGAATCTTATAACAAAAGTGTATAGTATATTCCTGGGCCTTCACAAGAAAAAGACTGATAACCCAATTACAAAATGGGCAAAAGACATGGAGAGAATTTTTACAGAGGAAAATATTCGAATGGCAAACAAACACATGAAGAAATGCCCAAAATCACTGGCAATAAGAGAGATAAAAATCAAAAACACAATGAGGTACCATCTCACTCCAGCAATAGTGGCAAAGTTTAACAGGGCAGCAAATAATAACTGTTGGAGAGGATGTGGCGAGAAAGGAACTCTTACACATTGTTGGTGGGATTGTAAAATGGTACAACCATTGTGGAAGGCAGTTTGGTGCTTCAAAAAGCTGAACGTAGAAATTTCATATGATCCAGCTATTCCACTACTTGGAATATGCTTCAAGAAAATGAGAACTGAAGCACAAACGGAGATTTGTACACCAATGCTCATAGCAGCATTATTCATTTCAAGAACATGGAAACAGTCCAACCACAAACAAATGGATTGAGAAATTATGATACATTCACATAATGGACTACAATGAAGCATGCAGGAGCAATGATTTTTAAAAAATGATTTGTAAAATTTCACTTAACTTGGGAAGGGCTGGAGAGCATTATGCTGAGTAAACTCAGTCCTACAAGGATAAATATTGTGTAAAACCATTATTGTAGAATAAGTCCAAGGAATCAAGTGGGGTGGGAGAGGTTGAAAGCAGAGGGATGAGGATGTGAGGGGGCGGGGGTAATTAATCATGGTGTTGTACAGTTTGTTGGGTGGTGGTATGAGGGAAATTGAAAGAATTTGTTCTTGAAAACAATACATTCGAATTTTGTGAATAAACTTGTTGAAAATGTTAAAAGTGAAAAAAGTTAATTAGGAAAAAAAGAAAGAAATTAGGTGTAATAAACTCAAGGTCAAATTTTCGCTCTTGTGGATTTGATTTAACCTTTTTTAGCTTTAGTTTGAACTTGCGTATTAGTAGTTGGTGGTCTGTTCCTCATTCAGCATCTAGCCTAGTTTTCACTGCTGATATTGAACTTCTCCAGAGATTCCTTTCACAGATGTAATCGGTCTGATTCCTGTGCATACCGTCAGGTAAAATCCATGTGTATAGTCTGAATAAAAACGGTGTTTTAATGATTCTTTTTAACATTAAAATTTTTCAATAGGCCCCCTGATTTTTTTTTATTCATTCTTTCTATCTCTGATGTCTTAAATATAAAATCTTCACACCTTTGTATGAGATAAGCTGTTCTGTGCTCATTTTATTGTTGGATACCTTTTCCTTGGCTCTGACTCCCATTGGCCTTTTGTGAAAGAGCGTGGCCCTGGCCAATCCTATGCCACCTCACAGTCGTTTCTTTGAGTCTTTGTTACAACCACCCTTAACAGTCTGTTGTGTGGAAATTTTTCCTTTTTCCTCTTACCGCTTTATTAAGTATGAATTCTTTCTTCAGCGACAGGTCTGTCTTGATAATATCTCCAAATAATGTGATCCTCCCTTTTGAAGAATGTTCTGACTAGACAGTTTTGTTCATTCTTCTGACAGGTACATTCAATATTTTTTGTCAACACTGCAATTCAGAGGGATCAGTTTTTCTTTCATTTTCCTTATTCACCCAGCTTTTGCATCCATAAGTGGTGGTTAAAAATACTAGTCATGAGCAATTCTGGGCGCCTAGTGGCAAGAAGTTGTGCTCCAGTCTCAAGTCCACTAGATGCTCCGCTGGAGAAGGAGGGGCACATTCCTCCTGTGCCAGTTGGATCCAGTTCGATGGTATATGTTTGCGTTAAAAAAATCAAAACAAAACTAGTCGTGGATTGGTCAGAAAGACTTGAGTTTTCAAAGTGGCTTTGTTTTTTTGACACTTAAAGCCTTTTGCTACAGACATTGCTAATGCAGTATGTTATCTTCCTACTTAATTGCTGCTTCCGTGCAGTCATCTTTTTTATGATCTAGTTTGTCTATTTGTAAAGATTTTTTTTTTTAGTTTTATAAGTACTTTGAAGCCTGCCAGATTGTGTCAGCTGCATATCCCAGGTTGTTGATGAGTTTTTCTCCAATCCTGATGCTGTGCTCTTCTTGTCCAGCTTCTCCAATTACTAGCTCAGCATACAGATTTCTGTATGGAAAAAGGATACAACTTTGATGTACACGTTTCCTGATTTTAAACCTTGCAGCATCTCCTTGTTTTGTTTAAACGACTGTCTTGCTCTCTGTACACATTTCACATGAGCACTACTAAATGACATCTGTGAAATATGGAGAAGATTATCCCTGTTGTGAGCAGCTTGAGCTGTCTCTTACAAGTACCAGTTCATTCCAGAAAGTGAGGCAGCCTGGACAGGTGGCCGGACTGATGCCTGGGGTCCTGGAAGGCTCTGAAAGTTTGGGCTGAGTCTCTGGTAGCCTTTAGAGAGATGGAAAGCCCTCTGTCTGTATCCAGCACTTGTGTTGCAGGGAGACTTGCAGCACAAAGGTTTGCAAAGTCTGCTTTTGCCTCAGACCTGTAGGTGGAGGAGGGCCAACAGCTCTATACTCTCCAGATGATAGAAGAGTGGGTAAACAGATCAAGCAACGGAGTTCCATCTTCTTTCTGCCTGTCCTTCAGCTCTGGGAGGAACTGCTGTGGGCTGCTCCATTCGGGAGGGGCTTATAAGCCTGAGGTCTAGGGTCTCGAAGAGGGAACACGAAGGTGGGTAGAAGTTCGGCGAAGGGACGATGAAAGAACACAAGGCAAACAGTCAAGTGATCTTGATGATTTTAATTCTGAGTCATTCTAATTCCCCTTCTTTCTTCCCTTGCTTATTGCATTTAACATGATACATTTATATTCCATTTTTACAATTAGAGGCTTAATCAACAGCCAGAAAAACAACAAGAGTAAGAATAAAGTTTACATTATTTTCTTACACACAGCTATTTTTTATGGTCATGGTTCCTTGAAGAGCATGAAAGGCTATTCTTTATTCTTAATGGTCATGGTTCCTTGGTAATTGGAGAGCCTGGTAGACAATGGCTTTTTCCTTAAACATTTTCTTTTTAAACCTGTTTTTAAACCTGTTCTTCAACTTGTTTGATAGCAAAGTTACAAAGTAAAAAAGTTACATTTTTAATTTAAGCTGATATATTTTACGTTTTTAGCTAAATTTACAATATTATTTATTTCCATTCAAAAGACAACACTTTTACACTTTCCATTATTCCAGGGGTGATCACTATCTCAGTAAGGGGGTTTTGGTTTATAAAAAAGATGTTTTGGGTCATAATATCGCCTAAATTCATCATTCCAATCTCATGTTTCATGATTTATTTTACCACTTGTACCTTTCATAACATCTTCCCTCTGGTCACTTTCAAACCTTTTGAAAAACATATCCCAAAAACCATCAGGGTGTTTTGCATTAAATTCATCATATTTTCCAGTATATGGAAGAGTTTTATCTGTAGGCTCTGGAATTCTGTAAGGGCCTCTCCCAATAGGGGGCTGCCACAAACAACCATTACCTAACAGATAAACAATTCTTCCACCTGGTATTCTCACGGTGGGGGGCAAGGGTTTGAGTTTTTCCTTTGAAGGAGTTCTTAGAAGCCCTAGAAATCTAGGAGTCTCTGGAGTGGTCATCTCTAGGATTTCCACCATTAATTCTTTTTGTTATAATGCACCCATGAATTCCCTTAAAATCATATTATTCTTGAGAAGTTTTAGTAATGCTAAAATAACCTGAGGTAATGTTTGCGTATCAAAGTTGTCACCTCCATTTAGTTCTTTCTGGGAACACCTAACAAACTTTTAGTAGGAACACTTTGTGTAAAGAACACAGCCTTTTTTCCCTGTCCCACATAGAAAACACAAAGAGGCAATAGAAGAGAAATTACAGAAAGACCAAGAACAATCATGGAGAAAGCACACGTTCCGAGAGGCTGACTTCCTTGAAGTTTTCACCTCAATCGGGTGATTTTGTCACGCAGACTCCCTTGGAGTTGGTGTGGCAGGGAGGTAATAGTCTGGCAGATATGGGAGTGATGTGGAGAAGCTTGACCCTCAGCATGTGTTGAGTAGAGGGACAGCTGGATGGTGATACCTTGTGTTTTGGTACTGGGTCACTGGGCATAGATATGGTTGGGTCTCAAATGATGAATTCTGAAAGAGGAAGGAGCGGAGGACTCAGACTTTGAGGGATGCCCCTCAAGTAGGAGGTGGACAAGATATGGACCTCAGCAACCTTACGGTACTTAGTTACAAGCAGCCATGCCGTCACTGGGGGAGACTACCTCCAGCTTATCACAGTTAGGCAATGAGTCTTTCAACTTTGGAGGATAGTGAGCTAATAGTTGGGTGTCTTATTTGTCTTTAGTCATGGGACATATTTTTCCGAAACACCAATGCTGGAGCCCCTCCAGGCACTGCCTACCAAAGCCCCCTTCCGCTGAGCCGAGGATCCTTTTCCACCGTCACCCGAGCACAGTCGCTGGTGGAAGCTCAGCCCAATGTCGACAAGCTTGTGGAAGACCACTTGGCTGTGCAGTCCCTCATCAGGGCTTATCAGGTAAGACAAATGTGAACTTGCCCCAAATGAGAGAGCATGCAATAATTTTACATTCTGTTGTCAGTGTAGCCTTTCTGTACATTAAATATGACATTAATATCTACATTAAATCGGTCATTCTGACTGATAAAGTAAATCTGAGTTAGCAGTGCCTGCCATGTAAATAGCTTCTGTGTTTTTGTAAGTTAGCAAGAAAGCAGTTTGAGCAGAAGTCATAGTATTTTCTTATCAAGGAGAGAAGCACCTGGCTAAAATGCTGTCCTCCAGAACTAAGTAGTCATGTTCTGGCCAGGCTGCCCAAAGGTGGATGTTTCTGTGCGGTTAGTAACTGCACATTTTCATTTCTTAATAGTCAAACAGGGAGTTCTGGTAGCCAAGTAGGTAGGTAAAGAGTTGCACTCCCAACCCAAAAGGGTTTGAATCTATTAGCCGCTTTGCAGGATAAAGATGGGCAGTCTCCTCCTGCACAATTTACAGCCTCTAAAAACCCAGTGAATGGTCAGCTACGAGTCAGTTCCACCTCAGTGGTACATAATTACAGCAACCAAATAGTCCAAGAAAATAAACCTGTGACGTTTGAAGAAAGAAATACTTCCTTTCAAGTAGGGAGAGGAAGACGGCCAAGGTTAGGTGATTGTCAGAGAGTGATTGAGGTGTTTGGGGAGCTAATGAGCTGATCAGTGGCCAGCCTAAACCCAGTGGACTTGGAGTGCTTTCTCAAAGTGTTAAGAGCCCAGCCTCTCCCAGAATTTTTACTTGGTAGTGTGGGAAATAACCAGGAATTCTGGACCTGACCCTTATTACAGATTTATCTGTGCATAGTTAGCAGCAGATCCAGGCATTCTGTCCTGTACATCCTAGAACTCCTTGACTTGCTGCTGCTCCTTCTATAGTTGCAGGCCAAAATCAACTATGAACAAATGGAGCCATCTCACCAAATCTCCACTTCTCTGTGACCCCTGTCTGTTCCCTGGAGGTGGGGAGTGGGCCTTTTTCTTTATAGTCTTGCTATCACAGGCCTTTCTCTCTTGAAAGTGGAACCACATGTTAAGATGGTACAAGTATAGTAATAGTTCCTGGTCCATCCTGGTCCATCCTAGCATCCTTTGCCAAACAAGGGTCTCTCCTGAGAGCAAGAGTGTGCTTTTTCTGTACTTTTCCTTAGAAAGGAGAGTGTTGTAAATACATCACAGCTGGAACCTCTCCAGGTACACAACACCGAGATTTTGGTGGCTAGCACTTCCATGCAGTGCATCTTTTGGTGAACCATCAACATCTCCCCTTTTCAAACTGCTAGCAAGATAATGTGGATAAACTGCCAGGACTTAAAGAAACTTAGGATTTGAAGGAGGTTTGTTTTTTTTTTATCTGATTTTTAGAAACAGTGGAGATCACATTATCTAAATTTGTATTGGGCTGCTGTCCTGTTTAGTGACTGTGCTGACAGTGACCAGGATTTGAGTCATCGTTTGTTCAGACTGATGCACATGCTTTCCTCTAAGGAAAATATGCAGTTACCTGCCCCAGCTTCTTCCCAGTTAAGGCCAGCATCTAAGTGATCAATGTCCTTCTCCAGGAGATTATTATGTTCCAAGCTGTTAGAATTTACACTGGAATAAGAATTCTCTAGTGCTCCTCATTTCCACTTATTCTGGGAAACTCTGGAGAGAAACTGAATACCAAGATACAGATCCTTTTAGACTACCAGAGTTTATTAAAATCTGATATCTCCCTCCTTTCTTTAAATTAACAGAAGTGCATTTCTGTATACTGCGCATTTTAAAAGAAACCATCCTAAGACTTTGTAAAAATCAAATTTTGTTATGGGGGTTGTTGGTGCTGATGGTCCTTTCTGGGAAAGGGTTGTATGAAATGTAACTTTGTTAGCCCTTTCCATACCTCACTGAATATGTTTAATGACTGCTTTGTATTATTGCTTCCAGGTCAGGGGTCATCACATTGCAAAACTTGATCCTCTCGGAATTAGTTGTGTAAATTTTGATGATGCTCCAGTAACTGTTTCTTCAAACGTGGGTGAGAATTAATCTGCAAATGCTAATTTTAATGTAATTTTACTTTTTTTTACCCCTTCCCTCTTTTTTTCCCCTCCTGTCCTTTTGTGTGTCCTTCCCTCTCCATTGTTGGCCCATCCATAGATACGAGGGCACCATGTAGCACAGCTGGACCCCCTGGGAATTTTGGATGCTGACCTGGACTCCTCCGTACCAGCTGACATTATCTCATCCACAGACAAACTTGGTGAGGGTTCCAGCAGCAGTCAGTGCTGCGTGGCTTGAGCTCCTCTCTGCACAGCTTATCACATCTAGGCTGTTCACACAAAGCAGGGAAACACTCTTAAGTTTCCTTTGTTCTGATCACTTGACATTAATAGGTGATAGAGTTGGGTTGTCTCTAAAGGTATTTGGGGTAAGGTATTTTTGTTCTACATTTTCAGCTAGATTGTATTAGCTCAATTATCTAAGTCTCAAAACTGAGAAAGAAAATTTTAGATAGAAAAGGTTGTGGGGATGGGGAGGAATGGCTACTTGGGGCCGCAGGGACAGGTGCTGCATCAGGTTCTTCAGCCCCCCCCCCCCCCCCCCTCCTTAGTTCATTGCTCTGCATCTGTCCAGTTGCAGCCTGGCTCTTAGTTAAGAGGCCAGTCAGGGGTTCTTGGAACAGGAGTTTCTGCTCAGAAGCTGTTCACACACCTTTGCAACGTGAAGTGTGGGAGTCCTCACTGGGGTGAGGTTAGTTGTGTCCTATACAGGTCTTGATCAAGAGCAGGTCGTGTTGTTTGGCCCCTCTGACTCTTGCATTGTGATCACACTGAGGAAACTTGGGAAGTGTTCCCACACCTTGCGAGGAGGCCTGAGGCCTCTGTGGAGCAGAGACGGCTCTGTACCGCAGCTGCTTGATCTCTTCTTGTCTCACTTCTCCAGTGCTGATGCATAGGCCGCTCGAGCTCTCACTGCACTGAGTTACTGCTCTGCTAACTTGTTCTGAAGAAAAGTTGGTAATGACTAATTTTGAGGTGGTCAAGATATATACCAAAAGCATCCTGCATGCTAACAAATACTGATAATCATCTGCATTAGGATCGCTCTTAGGGAGTGGGATAAGATCAGACTAATTGTTAGGCACTCTGGGAAAGTGTAAAAAGGTCTACTTTCCCCTCTGACCTTTGATCCCCTTCCCTCTGACACTGTGTGCAGCCCCAAAACTGTCCCTGCCTGTGCTTGTGTGCCCTGCAGTTCCCCACAGGCCAACATTGTTCTGCTCCTGAGCAGCCATGGGCCTATGCCTCACAGTGTCTTCTGGACCTGCAGTGATCCCGGCTGAATGTTGGCTGGTTCCCAGCATGGGGAGCTGGACCCTTGGCTTCAGGCCATTGTGAGTCCTGGACATGGGTAGGGATGCTGCCCGGGGGCTGTCTGCTTTATTGCTCCTTAGTGGTGAAGAGCATGAGTCTGCGCCCTTGGAGGGGAGACAAGGATGGCTGATCACTCCTGAGCTAGTCACCATCGTGACTAGCCTTGAACATGCCTGTCCTGGGTGGCTCCTTGGAAGCAAGGATTCTGAGGCTCCGTCTAACATACTTTGGACATGTTGTGAGAGACCAGTCCTTGGAGAAGGACATCATGCTTGGGAGGGTGGAGGGACAGCACAGGAGAGGAAGGCCCTCTATGAGGTGGATTGATTCAGTGACTAGGATAATCGGGATGGGAGTGTCAGAGACAGTGCGATTGGCACCGGACAGAGTAGAGTTTAGGGCTGTTGTACATAGGGTCGCTATTGTACATAGGGTTGCTATGAGTCGCAAGCGACTCGACGGCACATAACAACAACAAACCATACTTGGAATTTAGAGTACAAGCAAGATTGTCTGATAAATAATACAGAATGTATTTTAAAGATGGTGGTTGTTGTTATGTACGATTAAGTTGGAGCTGACCCTCCAGTGGATTTTCAGAGGCAGTAAGTCACACAGGAGAAGATTCCCTTCTTTATCTCAGGGAGCAGCTGGTAGATTTGAACTACATGCCTTTGGGTTGGCAGTACAACTCCTTGCCAAGAAGCCACCAGAGCTCCCTTTAAAGATGTAGGGTTAGTGATTATTTTTATTTTCAAAATTTTTAATTAATTTTAGGAAAGGTGCTCAATTGAGCATGGATTATGTTCAGAATAGTACAAGTGCTTATACAAGAACTGGGGAAATGATTTTTTTCTGAAGTGTTCCATTGGTAATAAAGCCACAGAATTTATGTGGGATTATGTTGTAGGTCCTATTTCTCACGAGGAGGGAGTTGAGAGCACCTTTTGAAGTGCCTCTCCCATCACACCTGTTCCACAGCTAGATTTGTGGACCCTAGACTCCAGAGGTGAGAAGTGAGAGTCAGTGGGTGGGGGCTGAGGAAGACCACTAGTACCACTTTTAAGGTTTTGCTTGGCTGATCTAGAGAGGAACAGTGAACAGGCTGTCAGGTTAACTATGTGTGTATTGCAAAATACCAAATTAGGTTGGTTATTGACAAGAATAGTCACCGTGACAGTGCTGAATCCTTTGGGTTTTATTCTTGTCATTTATAGTCTCATCGCTTAGATTTGCAAATTTGACTGGAATGATACATCATTTCACCTTATGGCTTATAGTTCATACTTGTTATTCCTTCCTTGCTTAAGTTGAGAGGATCATTGAATTTGAAGCTGATCTTGTTTCCAACATGGAGCTGTCATTGATTAACTTCATGATTTGGACAAAGTTCCATTAACTCTTTTTTCCTCCATCTTTAAAATGCAGTGTTTGAATTAGATTTCCAACTTTACAATGCCATCCTTTCTGGTTTCTCACAGTGATAAAAATGATTGAGATTTTCTTTAATGTGATATTTAAGCATAATAAAGGAGAAGGCAAAGCAATAAAAATAAAGAAAGCATGATACTTCTCATCCATCACTAGCAAGTTTCCAGATTCCTAATATCAGTCTTAGGAAGTAGACTTAAGTGGCAAGGAGGTAAAAAAATCTAACAGAAGGAAAGCATTTTAGTTACGTGCCTTATTATTCCCTCCATTATTCTCTGCTGTCAGCTGCCAGCAAAGGAGGGGGTGGAATGTCAAGGATACCCCAGCCAACTGCTGCTCCATTGGCTACAGAGACCACTGAGATGAAAACAGAGCTGATGTTTAGTGTTCATAATTTGGAGCAGTAGAGAATAACATACTGACTGCTGTGTGCAGGGTGCTATGCTGGAGGAAGCCACACTCCAGGAGGACTGAGGCCGACGAGCCAGGCCAGTTCATTTGCCTAGGGATCATTGGCATTGGACAGATATGGGCACTATATAAAGGACTAAGGTCCAAAACTGAAGAAAAAAGTTGAACATTTGCGGTCTTTCTTGACTTTACCCTTCCTAGTGGATATCCAGTAACTAATATCCTGGGCAATACTTGACCTCCTTTATCTCAGGTGCTGGAAAACCTCTGTGTTTTCTGCATGTATTGGCCAAGGTATCCTCTATTAGTCTTTACACTCCTTTTTGTTCTTGGTTTGTGTCTTCTGTGTCCCTTTATTTAAAAAACATTGAAATACAGATAAAAGATAAATATGCACATTCACCATAAGGAACAGTGTAAACATCTTACTAGGGTTTTTTGAGGTATATTTTTCACAGAAATCGTGCAGTTGGAATTCCTTGAAGCCTCCAGCTTTTGTGGTCCTTTCCAGGAGTGGACCAGTCATCTTTATTCTTCAGGCAAGAGTAGACTTTCTGTTTTTCTTTACCTCTACTGTAAGCCAAACACCAAAACTTTTGTGAACAATTTGAGTATTTTCTTAGAGCCACATGCTTTAGATCTTTGAGCTTTGTGTTGTAAGGAGATTTGTTACTCAACCAACTTCTTTTAGAGCCAGATTCCCTACTGGGAGCAGGGGAAGCAGGCCTACCCTACATGCTTCTTGGATCTTTTCTGAGTTCTTTCCAGGAATTTTAGAGGACTTTCCTTTGTTTGCATACCCAGGACACCCATGTACCAGCAGGCCATTAATTTTCCTGATGCCATCTTTCATACAGTCCTTAAGAGTTACAACAAGCCATTTGATGTATCCTAACATCTTTATTTTCACCACTAAGGAAGGTTTAGGAACATTTTGGGTATGATAGAAAGCCAATGATAGGTTTAAAAGTAGGTGTAAAACGCATAGCTAGAAATGTATGTCCATCTCTAGCTGTGATTTGTCACTAATAAACCCTTCTATTCTAGTCTGGCTTTTGAGGGAGTTGTGTCAAATTCAGCAAATGTTTGAGACAAAGGAGCCTCCCTCCGTTCTTTATGATAATTTTTTTTTTTACTTGTAGTGTACTGCCTATTTCAGTTCTGAAATATGACTACTACAAAACAGACTTTTCCATTTTCTTTTTTTCTAGTTGTTTAATTGTGAAGTAGTTTAGTAGGATGTTTTTGACCTCTTAGAAGACCTGTGCCAGCCACTTTATCATGATAAGAGATGAGGGGACCTCAAAGTGCACAGCCTGATGCCTTCCCAGTGTCCATGAGCACGTTCTTTCACCTTTTGACTCAGCCCCTTCCAGCTGTTCTCATGTTTACCATAGTAGTTCTCATAGTCACCTCATTCAGTGAACTGTCACCACTTCTCCCTTTGTGTGTGTGTGTGTGAAGGTGTCTTCCTTGTTACTGCTTTTATGGTGTAGTGTTGTTTGGGTTTTGAGTTTTGTTTTTTGAAAACTAACTCTCCACTGTCTTTTTCCTTTCGCACTTACCCACGCCACCCTACTGTGCCTCTCAGATCTTGCTGTTTTCAAGGAACGACTTCGAATGCTAACAGTAGGAGGTATGAAAACAATGAGCCTTTCACCTGTCCGGAGTAGAAGATGTGATTTGACTAGAAAGTTCAACTTTTCTAGCATGCAGTTTGGGGAAAGTTGACTCAGTTTCTGTCAAGTGTTTTGAGGCTTTGTTGTTTTGATATATGTTTTTCCCTTCATTTTAATCATTAACCAAAAAGTTCTTGTCTGGCAGAAAGTTTGCCATTTTTGTTTCCATCCGTTTTGTGCTCTGAAGAACTTTTCTCATCTCCATATCTGCTCACCAGCCACCACTCCATTCTCCCACCTCCAGTGCCATTGGTTTCTGGCTGTGCTAGAATCTCCAGACCATGCTGAGTTCTGCATTGCCTTCCACTTCTTCCCTCTCACACACTCTGGATTCTTCCCAGTGCTGTTCCTGGAAATTTTAGGCAAGATTTCCCTTTTCATTATGCATTTTTTAAATAAAACTTCCTGGGAACTGCAGCTGACCCTTGTTTCTGGGCAGAGTACCTTTCAAAAATCCAGAGTTTTGATACTGCCTGGTCTCTTTCCCCCATGGCCAGGCTCTTCCTCCATACCTCCTGAGTCTTTGCTTTCTCCAAGAATTCTCCCTTTCCTCCATCTTCCTCATTATATCTGTGTGACTATGTTGCACATTTGTATTTTTAATCGATTTTGAGATGATCATAGATTGGCATAACGTAAGAAGCCTCCTAGTGATCCTATGTTGCGTTTACTTTGTTTACCCCATTGGTAGTATGTTGTTATATCACACCCAAGATACTGATGTCAAGACAATATTTCTGTCACTGTAGAGTCGCTCACGTGGCTGTTTAGAACTACTTTTTTTTTTTTTAGAACTACTTTTAATTGTCTCCTTCTTCAGCTCCTTTCTGACTCTGAAATAATTCTCCATTTCTAGAATTTCATCATTTTAACACTGCTATCTGAATGGAATCGTACTATGCAACTTTTTGGATTGCTTTTCCACTCAGTATTATCTGTAGATTCATGTATATAGTATATATAAATAGTTAATCTCTTATTGCTGAGTTGTATTCCATGGTTTAGCTTTTTGTAGATTAGTTATTTAAGCATTGATGGGACACATCTGATTAGTTGATTTGTTTGATTTGTGTTTTTAAACATAATTCTGGTGAGAATCAATCTGCTGTAAACATTTATTGCAACAGCTTTCTGTGTGAACCTAAATGATTTTGTTAGGAATGCCTGGGGAGTACATATCCTGGATTGTGTGGTAGGTATACAGTCAATTTGAAGAGAAAGTTCTAGACTTGCCCAGAGCATTGCACTGTTGTAGATTCTTGTTGGCACTGTATGAGCAAGCCATGTTTTCTTCAGCATCTAATATTGGCATTACTTTTTGCTAACCATTCTGATAGGTATAAATAGTGTTACCCTTTGTGGGTTTGCAACTTATATTTCCCTAATAGTTAATGGAGTTGAATGTCTTTTCATGTGCTTGCCACCTGTATATATCATCTTTCTGTTTTAAAATAAAATTTTTTAAAAAATAATTTTAATGAACATTTAAGAGATTTTGGATTTCCATTCATTCATTGCTGCACTTCTCTCCCCACCCAGCCCTCCCTCCCAAAATTTTCTTTTAATTATAATTTTAACAAACATTTGAAGAGAAGTTAGATTTTCATTCATTCATTGTTACACATTTTACTCCCTCTCCTCCCCCTCTCCCAGTTCACTTTTTTCTCTTTTTATTAATTTTTAATTTTAATGAAAATTTATAGAGACTTCAGATTTCCATTCATTCATTGCTGCACTTTTCTCCCTGTCCATCCCACCCCCCAGTTAGCTCTTCTCTTTGAAAAGTAAAAGAAAAATTTTTTCATTGTTACACACTTCGTCCCCCCAAGTCCTCTCCACTTTGCAGCCTTCGGTCTGGACTCCTGTCGTGACAATAATACCTAATCATATATCCCTTTTAAACAGTTCTCTCCCTCATTTGTTTCAGTGCAGTAAACATTATTTATCCCATCTTTCTCAGTTTCCCCCAAATCCTGATGTCAGTCCCGTTTTACAGAGTTGCACTATGCAGTATTGGTCCTTTTATGACAGATATTTCACTCAGCATAATGTCCTCCAGGGTCACCCATTTTGTATAATATTTCATGATTTCCTTGTTTTTCAATGCAGCATAGTATTACATTGTGTGAATATACCATTGCTTCTCTATCCATTCATTTGTTGATGGACACTTAGGTTATTTCCAACTTTTTGTTATTGTGAACAAAGCTGCAATAACATAGGTGTGCATATATATCTGCTTGGGTGTCGATTAGGGTTTCTTTGGGGTTTATTCTCAGGAGTGGAATTTCTGGGTCAAATGGTATTTTCTATTTGCAACTCTTTGAGAAAGTGCCATACTGCCTTTCATAGTGGTTTCACCATTTTACACTCCCGCCAACTGTGAATAAAGGATCCAGGTTCTCCACAACCTCGCCAGCATTTGATGTTTGCTGCTCTGTTAAATTTTGCTGTTCTTACTGGAGTGAGATGATATCTCATAGTTGTTTTGATTTGCATCTCTCTTAG